TCTCCTGACTTTTGATCGAATTTTGATTAATGTTTGCGTGTTACGTATTAATATGAACTTTTTTGCTTATAATAATGAAATCTATAAACTGTTTCAGTTGAATCCGTACAATTTGGGACATCTTTATAAAACATTATCAGAACTATAATAATTTAACTACAAAAAAAATTAAGATTGGTTGTCCGTTGTGGTGATAATATTATGACGCCCAGGGCCGACAAGAGGGGGGGGTATCCGGAATAAATTCCCGGGGCCCCACAGCTTTAGGTGACGACGTTTTTTTTTAAAGATTTCACTAAAGAGGATGAGAAATGTTTGCTTAAAGACCTTTTTTTTTAGAAATGTGATATTGAAAGAGCTTAATTTTTTTATAAAATTGTTGCAGGGCCCGATCTGGAAAATCTGAGCTAGTTTTGTAGTGCAATAAAGATAGATATATGTTTACAAATATAAGTGCAACTAAGATGGATTATACAATGCGATAATACCGTTAACAGAGTGTGGATCACTCGCGGCACCAGTTTTAATTGATTTGTTTCATATTAATATAAGTTGATTATTATAAGACATAAAAATATGACTGAGATTTTGTTATGATCTAAACACAATTTAGAAAATTTTATAAAGAGTTATTTTTTTTATTTTAAAATCTGGTTTAGCTAATTTTATAGTATTAACATAAAAAGTACTACACTTTTCGCAATTTTTTTCTTAAGATAAAACCGTGAAAATCTCATTTTAAATTTTTCTGTGCCGTAAGCCCCAATGCTTTTTTAAATGTTTTAAGTAATATTAAGGTGAAGGGGGAGAAAAAGTCCTTTATATCTCACAAGGAAAGTCAATGTTTAATTATTTAACAAAACATTGTCAATTTTAAGTAATACATTTACCTAACTTGTAAAGTAACTTTTTGGATGTTGCGGTCATATTGTAGTACACTTTACGCTCTATTCAGTGGTACCAATTTCTCGTTTTTTTAAAATAGTGCCATTCTGCACGATCTCCTCCGGTTTTAGAATCTCTAAAATATTAGATTTCAATTAACTAACAATTCAGCTCGTGACACTAAGTCCCCTACAGAATTCATTTGTACAGCACCATACTATAAGGAAACCTTTAAAATAATCAAATATCTGTCAATTTAATTCTATAATTTAATTTAAAAATAAAGAACTTAGTGGTTGCTTAGTAGTTATTTTAAATAATATAAAGTTAAAAATGTCTGATTCCGAGTTTTCTCTGACTCCCCGAAATTAGTAGAAGCAGCGAAAGTAGAGTCACAAAAATTATTGCCAGCTAAATCGCGAAAAATTTACGAAACGTCTCATTCAAGATTTGTAGAATGGAAGATGAAAAATACCTACCTTTACTTATGTGTATATATTATACAGGGTGATTCATAACTATTGGGACATAGGCTAAGGGCAGGTTATTTGTACAAAAATATGATGACAGGGCCAAATATACCCTAATAAAATATTGCTGTGGAATAAGATAAAGGGCGTTAAAGTTGAATTTTTTTTTTCGTTTTTTTTTATAATGTCACTGTATATTAATGAATTGTTATCAAAATCGGCACAGAGACATATCTTTGGACAGGGGATAATATTTTATGTACAATTTCTCATTTTTTTACGGGGAGCGCCACTTGAATAATTATTAATGATGAAATTAAGTTTTAGCTTTTTTTGACAAAACTTTTTAGTATTTTTGATTGGAAAATATGATGTAAACGTCAATTCTACGTAATATTGGTACTCTTGTTTAAACACGATAATTTTACCCGTTTTCGAGAAAAACGCAATTGAGCAGCTCACAAGTCTCAAATGGGGAGTTAAAAAAATATTTCACATATGAAAAGTGTGCTTTGGAGTGTCAGATAATTGTGTTTGGTACATGTCATTTCTTGACAGTGAATTATTTTTGCTGTTTGATTATAGTCTATTATTATTACTATTATTATTATTTATCACCCTGTATCTTATTCCACAACAATATTTTATTAAGGTATATTTGGCCCTATCGCCATATTTTGCTACAAATAATCTGACCTTAGATTATGTCCCAATAGTTATGAATCACCCTGTATATTCGGGAAAGAGGTACTCACTTTTTAATGCAAAAGTGCAGACACTTTTAGTACCGTCATTCCATCTTTTTATTCTATATCTATGATTTGAAAGATTCGTATGCCCTACCCTACTTTGTGACGTCACTGTGTGCATTGCGCAAAATAAGGTGATTTTAGTGATTTTAAGTAGGTCATTGTTCGTTTCACCGATGTGTTATCGTGTTGACATCTCTTTATAGCTAGAGGCTTTCGGGAAAGCATCTCGCTCGCTCGGGCTCACTCAGAAAAGTGAGCCAAAGATTAGCCAAAGATTATCCAAATCGCAGTGGCGTACCAAAAAATAGATATTAACACGTATGAAAACAATAAAAGTATTAAAATAAAATTTATATTTTATATTATTTATTTTAAAATAATGTGTTTTATGAAATGTAACTAGGTGTTCACTGCACCAATGAACCCATGGAGAAACCGCTTCTGATTTTGGGGTACCCTGAATCCGTTTTAAATATTTTTGCGATGATCTGTCAGTATGTCTGTGTGTCTGCATACTCGATAATTCATGAATGAATATACAATGAATATACAATGAATATACAATGAATATACAATGAATATACAATGAATATACAATGAATATACAATGAATATACAATGAATATACAATGAATATACAATGAATATACAATGAATATACAATGAATATACAATGAATATACAATGAATATACAATGAATATACAATGAATATACAATGAATATACAATGAATATACAATAAATATACAATGAACATACAATAGATTGTACAAAATAACCGAAAAAAGTCTGTAATAACCAGACAGGAAAGTCATGAAGAAATTTTGGTTTTTAGTTTATCATCTAATACATCATCTAATACCTTTTTGTACAAATTTATTGCGTACTGTTTTTCTGAGAGACTTAAATAGCCTAAACTCAACCGTTTTCATTGTTTTGATGGACTTTGCAGGGACTGCTATCATTACTATACTCAGTATAGCAGGATCCATAATCGCAGAAATTCAATACAATTACTTACTGAAGTTCTGAAAGGAACTGTTTTTTAACGAAATAGACTGAAAAACTAAGTAAAATTATAAAATGTCAGAACTGTCAACAATGTCAATTATCATCCGATGATAAGGCTAAGTGAGGTGTTAAACTGACTGCAATCTGACCAATCAAAAGTCTACAGAATTTTCAACTTAAATTCAAATCACTCCTTCCGGTTATTAAATATAGTGGCCGATCAGTTGATCAGTCATGACTGATCATGTTGGTTAATTGTCTTTTTCGCTACACATTTTTGGCCCGTCGAACTGCTCACTTAACGCACCCTTAATTGGTTAAAAATCAAAGACCGACCAATAACATACGTGTCGGATGATGATTTGTTAAGTCCCTCTTTGCCTTATTTGGAGCTCTTGCAGCCCGTTACCTTGAATAATTGATGAAATGAGTAAACCTCTGAAACTCCATTGTCGAACGACTATTGTTAGTTATCTAAATCATCGTAAACCATTGACTTCAAAAATTTGGTGGATATTGCGATTTGAAATATTCCAGGACTTACCGGAAGCTTCTAGAATTTACCGGAAGCTTCTGGAGAAATCGAATTTGGTGAATGAGCTATTCTAAAAAATGGTGGGTGGCTGTTGACTAGAATCTTGTGGGATAGGATGGCCAAATTCGTATATAAATGATATTGTGTTGACACTAAAAAAAAGTCTAGACATTGTTGTGTTAAGATATATGTTGTCAAAATAAATTAGTAAATAAGTATTGAGATAAATTAGTGTTGTATTAATTTATAAAATAAATTGAGTTTTAAATAAATTAGTTAATATAGTGTAAATAAGTTAGATAATAAACTTTAAAATAAATAAAAGTTGCAATAATTATAAAATTACATTATTTTTAATTGTTTTTGTGTAATAAGTGTAGTTTTGTTTAAGGTCAGCATAAAAAATTAATTTGAAACTCTAAGACCTCGTCGTAATATTAACACCATTAGTTGTAAATCTAATTTTATAAATAACTTTACCATACTAACAAAAACCAAAAATTTTTAAAATAGGAGATATTTTAGAGAGATAATAAGAGATATTGTATCTCAAACAAAAATCTGTCTGTGTCTCCTATAATTTTAAAAATTAAATTTGTTTATCAGTTATCATACATAATATGCCTTAGCTAATCTATTGTCGACTGTAAAATACCATGAATTTACTAAGTCCAAAGTACAAACAATTTCTTATAACTTTAATGACCGTATTTGCGTTCAATGAATACTACATAAGGTTGTTAAACACAATGGGGTTATTAAATTGAGTGTGTAGAACCTATACAGTGTCACCGTTAAAGTCGACATCATGTGGGGGATTTTTTTTATCACACAGTTTGCACAATTTTGAAGTTTATGAGCAGTGGTTGGTTCTGTCGATCGACTATACCTATCAAATTTAACATATTTTCAAAGAAAGTAGAAAAAGTTAGTTTATTTTCTTATGTGTAAAAGTTGTTTGTTTATTTTTCGGTTTTCTACCCATCTTCCAAATTGTTTAGAAATGTTTCTCGAAAAAATACAAATGATCTGAAAAAATTAACGCCCATCGAGAACAATAGTGACACAACTAAAAAAAATTTCATAAATCATAAATAAATAGAGCATAAGAAGTTAAATTTAATACCCTCGCATAATTTTTAATTATCTACAATAAACGCGCGTTAATCAAAATGGCGGCTAACGCATATATAAACTATATCAGTTCCAAAAAAAGTCTAACAAGAATTTGCTTCAACTAATCTTCAAGTAATCTCGACAAAAACTCTTTTGCTGTAAAGTTTTTGAATTTATACATATTTTTATATTAGAGCCAATTTTATTTAGCGACTCAAATTTTTTTGCAGACTCCTCTACCTTTCAAATTGAATCAAGCACACCACAAAATCGAAAATGTTAATAAGACTCGCCAGAAGCCCACTATGCCGGACCGCAAACCATTCCTACAAATTGAATTACTCAACAAAAATTGAATATAGACCAATCAGGAGCGTTCTAGTCGCTAATAGAGGAGAAATTGCAGTGCGAGTATTTAGGGCTTGCAATGAATTAGGAATCAAATCTGTAGCTATTTATTCTAAAGAAGACAGATCTCACATTCATAGGTTGAAAGCAGATGAAAGTTACCTGGTAAGTTTCTAATAAAGTTTCTATAAAATTAGAGCATAATGTTGTAAGCAGTTTTGCTGTTTCTGGTTTTAGTTTATGCAAAAATGGTTTGTTCGTTTGAAATAGGGCACTAAAATTTGTCATTAGACCTAGTACGTATGACATGAAATCCAGATAAATTTAAGTAAATTGATTATTCATTGTAAATATCATTTCATCTGTAGTTAATGAAGGGTCTTCAAATAGTAATTTAGTAAAATATGCTTTTAAGGGTTGAAATTGTTCTAGAATTCTGTCACCACACTGTTTTAAGGAAAGCCAACGAGTTATAGCCGACTTTAATATTTTGTGGATATCAGTTTCAAAAAAGGATTGAAATTCCTGTAAACGTTCATTTCTAATGTGACGTCCTACATTTCTTACAAGATCGTCTATGGATCTTGGTAATTTTAAACATGCATGTGATATTGCTAAGTGTGCTATATAACATGAGCATTTAACGCATAAAATGTTAGGAATTTCGTTTTTAACCAGGCAAAAACTGAGTGATAATTACCAGTCATTACGTTGGTAGTATCTGATGAAAACGCTACTAAATTAAAAATAGGAACATTTTATCCATCAAAGTTTTGAATAACTCGTTGGCTTTACCTCCCTCAGCCTCAACAATATTAAAAAAACTTGTCACAATATTATAATTAATAAAGTCATAATAAATAACGGCAAAAGCGCACTGTTTTTTTGTAGAAATGTCTGTTGTTTCGTCCATTACAAAGGAAAAAAATCATCCTGGCTCTCTTAAATTTTTCTTGAAAACACTCTCCCAAACTGTCGGTCATTATTGCTGTGCATTTTGTTCTTTTTAAACTTATTTCTTTAATTATTTCTGAATCAGGGGCAATGTTTTTTAGTAGCGGACTCTAGTGCCGCCCATAAACGTTTGTGGTAACTAACCCACATAGTTTTAATTCGGCAACTCTTGTATTTTTTTAATAAATTCGAAGTTCGATACACATAAGTAATTTTAACATTTTCTGCTACCCTATTTGTATTTACCTTGTGTTTACTGCTCTAAGCATGAATCGTTAACTTGTACCTTTTTAAGCTATCCAATAAACATTGGCATTATTAACCAGGCCTCATTAAATTTGTAGGTATATGATTTGCTAATTTTTCTTTGCCTAAATTTTTTTTCTTGGGTGGAGTTTTATCATCATCCTCACTTTTATCAATACTCTAGAAAAAAATTTAAAAAATTTAACTGTACAGTATATTGTGTACATATTGTTTCAAAGATGAGAAGATTGCATGTTGCTACTAAAACATACAAATTTCAAATTTAAATTGATCTAAATAGTAAATAGTACTACTATTTCAAACTTATTTTTATCACTTTTAATTCTAAGTTATATTTTTTATTGATTTTTATTTATTAAGAATAAGTTAAAACTTACCTTGTTTGCTTTCTGGATATATTTCTCTATGTACCTGAATAACATACACCTCCTTTTCAAGTTCATGCAATTACTATTTTTTTGTATGGGGTTTGTTATTTACTGTTTTATCATGTGGATGTTGACTCATAGCGTGCAGTTACTAGGTTGAGCGTAGATGCCTTATTTTCAGTAAATATTATTAATTTAATAGGTGCATTATAACACAGTAAGTCCAAATTTATAGAAAAATAGATTTTTAAAAAATTGTCAGTTACTGTGTTTTAGAGTAGGGCAGCCGAGCTAAGGGGACAGACACAGAATTTCGATGTGGATACATAAAGTTTAATAAATTTTCGTTCATCTCCTGTTGTTGAATCATAACATTTCTGAGCAGCATTAAGGACTAAAGTAACTCTTGGCAAATTTTTCCTCATTAGCCGCTATCCCAACTTCGTTATTTAAAGATCGTATGTCTTATGACGAACAAAAAAATAACACGAGGCGGCCAAAAAAATTTAGAAAACTTACATTAATATAAGGGAAAGTATAATTTTAATTTTTTTTTACTCCTTACTATATCAATTTCTGAAAATTGTCAATTCATTTATTTTTTGTCCGATATTTTGAATCTCCCTGTAGATATCAAATGTTTCTTGGCACTATTTTAATTAGCACAAAACTGCGCAACTTTTGTCTAATTTAACCAACTTTCTATCTGTTACCGTTTAAGAAATAGCAATCCTGTCCCTATGGAATAGTAAGGACCCCGCATAGAAAAGGTCCTATAACATCTACATGTGTAATAGAGCACTACTTTAAATTGTATAAAAGTAAAAGGTATTATTACTTCCATTACTGCTTTGATCCCTAAAATATTTCAGTCATTAGATTGTTTTGAAGAAATAACACTCGGAATTTTAAATACCTTATTTCATTTTAGATACGGTATCTGTGAAAATACCCATACCCTTAATGGCATTTTAATCAAAAAGTACCCTTTTTGTATTGATCTTGAAAAATGTGCAATGTTTATGAAATTTGGTAAACTATGCACAAAGTGCATATATATATATATATGTATGTATTTTGCATTCCGCCTTCTACATTTGGAAAAGGAAAGTGGCAACGTTACATTTTAGAATAAGTATGATAGTGTCAGTCTTCCTCCTATACAGAGTGAGCAATGTTTGACGTTCACAGCCACTCCACTTCAAATAAAAAATGAAGTATACTTCTATTTTATATCTATGATAGATACCAATTATTATTATTATTATTATAATTTTTATTATAAATTCTAAAAATTAGCCATCTTCAGTACTCATTGTCTACTACAAGGATATCCAAAAAGTTTAAAGGTCACCTTGATTCAGAACATTAATTGTTGAACTGTCCCACCTTACTAAAGAGTCAATGTTATTTTCTTCAAAATATTTAAAATTTAAATAATGCTTTGTAAATAACTCTATAATTTAAATAAAAATATTTTAAAGAAAATAACAATGACTATATAGCAAGGTGGGACACTCCAACAATTAATATTCGTAATCAAGATGACCTTTAAACTCTTTGAATATCCTTATGGTAGGCAATAAGCACTGAAGATGGCGTTATTCCGAAAGGGCTTTGCATTTTTTAAATAAAACAATTTTTCACAAAATACAAGGTCTTTTACTAATTCAAGCTGCGTGCACACAGCGGTTAACCTCTTTTGGTTCATTTAATTCTGGAATTGTTTTAGGTCGGAGAAGGTTTACCGCCAGTCCAAGCATACTTAAATGTTCCAGAAATTATAAAAATTTGTAAGGATAACGGCATCGACGCCGTACATCCAGGTTATGGGTTCCTATCAGAGAGATCAGACTTTGCTCAAGCTGTCATCGACGCCGGCATCAGATTTATCGGACCATCTCCGAAGGTCGTGTACCAAATGGGTGATAAAGTTGCTGCTAGAGAAGCTGCCATTGCAGCAGGTAAGACCACGACACTATTAAACCAATATCTTAAACCGTATTGTACTTAACTGGCCAAACTTAACCTTATCTCAATAACCTTTTCTTTATATCAATAATCTTCACCTCATCTCACAAACCTTAACCTTCATCTTAATAACCTTCAACCTGTTTCAATATACTTTGCTTCGCCTCAGTAAGCTTTACTTCACCTCAGTAAACTTCACTTTATTTCAATAAGCTCCACTTTATACCAGCAAGCTTCATTACTTTAAAATTCCTAACTTTAGCAAGCATCCTTAATGTCAAACATTTTGTCGAAGTATTCCTTGATAATAGATCCTCTTTTTCAGGTGTACCAATTGTGCCTGGTACCGATGGTCCAGTTACAACAAAAGAAGAAGCTAGGGAGTTTTGCATCAAGCATGGTTTGCCTGTGATATTCAAAGCAGCCTATGGAGGAGGCGGTAGAGGTATGAGAGTTGTGAGGAAGATGGAAGAAGTAGAGGAAAATTTCCAAAGAGCTTCATCGGAAGCTCTCAGTGCTTTTGGTAACGGGGCCATGTTTATAGAAAAATTCATCGAGAGACCTAGACATATTGAAGTCCAACTTTTAGGTAAAAAAAATTTCTGCATATCTAATTCTTGAAGAGATGTGACTATATCATTGATTGAAGTTGTATCCATGTATTTATTTTTTTATGCATTACTCAACTGGTAAAAAATCCGTTTATAGAGTAAATAACATAATTAACAGTATAGAATAAAATTTGAACAAAAGAAGCTGGAACTGATTAATTCATCACGATTTGATGGTTAATTTTATTTATGTTGATGCGATATTCTGATTTCTATTAAATACAATTTATCAGTTTTTTTTTAATAACTGAAATTTACAGATTGAGTTGTTACACATTTAAGAGGAAAATTTACATTTTAAACTGAAAAACCTGCAGAAAGAGATTGATACAAATTTTTAAAAGGTGACTCCGGATAGGTACGGGTTTAGCATTTACCTGTACTTACATAATTTTTCTTGTAGTAAAAATTAAAAATAATCCTCGAAATTGATGTACTAAGAAACTAGGGTTGCCACTTTTTTAAAAAATGAATAAAGGTAGGGTTGCTAGATTTACGAAAGGAAAAAGCGGGGCAAGATTGACGACAGGGGATTCAGTTAAAAAAAAAACAAGAATTTTTGACGATTTTCTAAAAAAAGGCCCTCATCTGCTGATATTTTTAATAAGCCCCTAGTCCCTTTGCCGAGCTTCAAAAAAAAGGTCCTCATCTTATATTTTTATAAACTAGGTCCTTTTAAAGGATATGTGCTGTAAAAAAGAACATTTTAAGCTTTAAAAAGTAACAAGGACAATTTTTTTGAAAAAAGAACAGGTGGCAACCTTATACGAAACCGTTGCATATAATATACTCGTATATGCCAATCTTAGTCTTACAGAAATAATTTAATTAAACAAATAGGATGTACAACAGTTCGCTTGTTGCCTTCAAACAAGCAATACCGGTTTCTGTGCGAGACAAGTAGCAGCGATAAGTTTACTGTTTAATACCTAAGTTTATAAAATAAAAAAAAAAACATGTCTAGTTCAAGTGATGGGGAAAAATTCTCCGGATTTATGGATGTAGATCAAGATATTTCCACGTCAACGAAAAGAAAATACAACGAGTTGCTAACGAGTTTACAGCAATTGAATGAAGAATCGCTAGACGAATTTATCGGAATCTCCAAAAAAGGCTAATAGATAAGAACGGAGAATCGAGCGACACCTCCAAAAAACCAGTTAAAGATAACGAAGGATATTCCGTAGTTTCTTATAAAAAAACAAAGCAAATCCAAAACCAAAATAATAATATTCCATCAAATAAAAATACAGGGAGATCCATAAATTTCTCACCACACATGAAAGAGTTCCAACAAAAACAATTTAATAATATGTTCTATATTAACACCAATAATACCATTATTAATAGAATCCAAATGGCTGATTTGTGGGAAGAAACAAGATAACAAGATATAATATTAAAGACAAAAAGGGCTATCTGCTAAAAAGTGATACTGCTAAAGCGATATTAGAAAATTCACTAAAGATCTTAAAAATTATGGAATATAGCGCAACAATACCCTACAACCAAGCTTCAAGAGATAACAAAATTCCAGCGACTCAAGTCTACTCTTGTGTTATTGCCTCTGTCGAAAACGAAATATCGGACGAAGAAATCTCACAAAAAATGGTCTCATCTGGAGGGGAATTCCTTTACTGTAAACGAATCATCTCAAAAAAGACAGACACTTCAACAAACTTCATAAGAATTATCACAAAAAATCTAAAATTTTACGAAAAACTTATCTCTGAAGAATTATAGGATTATATTACAAATCCCGCCATTATGCTGTCTGTAGGAGCTCTCCGCCGCCCACAGCTTCAATGCCTTGTAATAAGTGTTTGAAGTTTTCCCACTTAACAGAAAACTGCACAGAAACAACAAGATGCAACAAATATTCTGAAGCGAATTCCACGAATAAGTGTCCAACCACGCTACCCCCAAAATTCACTGGATGTAGCTCAGATCTTCAAGCTTGGTCATTTAAATATCCTAAAAGACCAACAAAACCCATAACAGGAATTCCCAACTTACCAGTAAAAACATTAAATAAAAAATTTAACAAATTATGGAAAAGCTGAATAAACTTAAAAACACCAACAGAGAGGAGTTAATAGAAAGACTACGCAAAAGATTCATGGCGGAATACAGAATAGCGTTTGTGGGAAACAACTGAATTTACATCTTGATGTTTGACATGGAACTAGACAACTTCGAATCTTCCACTGAAACTATACCAGGATGGCAAGTAGCAAGTAAATTAAAATATTATACACGAATATAAACAGTTACTTTCAAAAGAAATATTTAGTGAACTATACGATAGAAAGGAAGTTAATAGATTGTACCCTATTTGAAGAAACTAAAACCAATGCGGAAACCAACACCAACTATAGAAATTGGGATGTAGTAAGACACAACGGAAATATTCTAAACCAAAATATAAAATAAAAATAAATCCAAAGCTAAAAATGCGAAAACAAAACCCGCCCCGCATAAACCATCCCCAAAATGATGCTCTACACGTTAGTATCCCTTTAAATGATGACGAATTTCACATTATTTTGATATTCAGCCACCCACATGCTTCACCGATGATTCTATCTTCAGAATGGCAGGAAGATTCAAATATGTTGTGCTATTCGGTGACTTTAACCACCGCTCTCCAGGCAAATTATAACAGATTCAAACTTTTATGCATAACACAAACTTTATTAAAGCGGATACTTCCCCTACTTTTTGGATGCCCAACAATGAGGACTCCACCCCAGATTTGTTAATGTACACTAACAATCTTATCGACTACGGTGGTGTAGGTGTCTACGGCGCAGCATTCATTTGTCAACCGATTTTCTGGTAAAACGAGACACGGTTTCAGATCCTACGGAAGACCATGTGAATTTATTTGCATGGTTCTCTATAGGATTTGTTGAAAACCATATTAACAGAAATTTAATTTCTGTTGATATGACATCTAAATTATTAAAATAAAATCACCATGCGCTACTGTTTTCGATGATAGTGGGTGGGGTTTTCCGGGTTTTCCTCACCTGTAAGTCAAATGGCACCACCAATCATCTTTAAGTCGCCCCGGAGCGCCACGGCAAATAATAATAATAATAGCCGTCCCTTTCCCCGCACAAGCTCAGATTTTGGGGTTAAAATTCACTCGTAAGGGGGTGAATTAGGGAGAGTATTAGTATTATTATTATTATTATTATTATTATTATTATTATTATTATTATTATTATTATTATTATTATTATTATTATTATTATTATTATTATCTTAGCAACGCAATCAAGAATATAGAAGTAATCCCCGACATTGGGGCAGACCACCATTCTATAATGTTTACTATCGAGCAAGGAATGCCCTCTCCTTTTGCAGACCCACCTCCTAAATATCATTTCAATAAATTAAACATTGAAAAAATAAATAAAAAAGTAAACCAACTAATTTCAAACAACACTAATGAAGCCAATAACTTTCACACAAAGGTCTCCGAGATTATCACAAACAACACACCAAAAACTGCAAACAAATATTTTACTTATAAACTTTCTAGATACATCGTGAAACTCATCAAAACTAAACGTAAAATGCTCAGAGAATACAGGCAAAACCCTAGTCGGGAAGTCAAAATAAACATCAACAACTTTAACAAAGACTTTCAAAAATTAGTAAAACAATTTCAGCAACACACAATGCTACAGACCTGTCAAGAAATCAATCGAGAACAGGGAAGAAACTTCTATCATAAAATAAATAAACTGTCAAAATATAAAACAAGGAATAAAATTCCAAATAACACAGACAATGGTATAAACTATGCCACAGATGAAGAAAAAGCCGATACATTCAAGGAGACCTTCATTAAAATATGTAACGGAAAGAAAGACCCATCTTTTGAACAAGAAAACTGGAATAATGTAAACTCATGGTGCAAAAAATATTTTAGAAGCAACCCAATCAATAAGGGAGATGACACAGAATTCGAGGAGGAAAAATACTTTCAAATACTATCCAATCAGAAAAACTCAGCTCCAGGATCGGACATGATCCCATGGCAAATTGTTAAAAAAACTAGAATATAATATACATATCTATATTATAAAAATATTTGCATTCTGTTACAAAAACTCGTACTTTCCAGATCAATGAAAAAAAGGCACCATCATAGTTATCCCAAAACCAGGCACAGACCACAAAAGAATTGATAATTAGAGACCAATCACCTTTCTTCCAGTTTTGGGAAAACTATTCGAAAAACTAATTAAGGTCAAACTATCAGCAATAGTAAACGAACGAATTCCGGAATTCCAATTTTGGGTTTAGAGAACAAATCTCCGATCTGGTACCAACCACTCTGCTGGTTTCCAATGTGCAAACAACAAAATTGAACAATAAAAAATTTGCCATTCTCCTGTTGCACATTAAAAAAGCCTTCGACTGTGTCTGGCACAACGGCCTTCTATTTAAACTAAAACTTCTTAATGTGCCTGAGGGTCTTATAATTCTTATCAATAACTTCCTTCAAAACAGAACTCTAAGAGTTAAAATAAATAACCACACATCTCCAAGTTTCATAGTAAATCAAGGTGTACCGCAAGGGTCGCCACTATCTCCGCTCCTTTACAACATATATTGCTTTGATTTTCCTTCAGGTCAGTTACACCTCAATGCAGCAAATTACACACTCCAATACGCAGATGACACGGCCTTGATATCGCATGGAAATACGCCGAATCAAACCATCATAGCACTACTAAATCAATACAACGAAGTTGCTTAATGGCTCAATAAATGGACATTACAAGTTAACTCACAAAAATGTCAATTAATGATACCCTATCATGATCTAAGACCGAAATCACCTACACTCATCATATCTAACCAACCAATTTATCCCGTATCCTCAGTGAAATACCTAGGCCTTATTATTGATAATAAGCTGAACTTTAATGAATACACCCGCAGACAAAAAAACAAAATC